GTCTTAAAAGTCATATGCATACGATTCTTTGACTCATGACCGTGGAACTAATATGAGCCTTGAGCAACATAAGCGTATATTTCCTAATAGCAGCATGGATACAGAAACCATTACTTCTAAGTTCTTCTATGGTCTCTCCAGAATGCTTGTGCAAAGTGCTAGCCCCTNGCATCGAGAGGGTTGACTGGATGTCCAGGGTTCGGTGGTGTAGTGGTGGAACACCTGACCGGCAATCAGGAGGCCCACGTTCAATTCCCGGTCCTATGCTCTCTTTCGGTCTCTCATGCCTTGCAAGTCCCGTTACTCATTCCCCATCCGTAACAATATTTTTGCCGGGATAAAACAGAGAGACATGGAAAGCTGCAACTTAGCATGGACGTGCCAACCGAGACTATGAGTTCAGGAAAAATGCAAAATTTTAGATCCATGCCCTGAGGGCATAATTTTTGGGGGCCAACGTCTTCAAGTTATTTTATATTTGTCCTGGCGTATTGAGGTGGTGTGGAAAGATGAAACTTGGTACATAACTACCTATTGGGATGCTGCGTGCAGAAAAATTCAGACTTTGGAAGTAAATGCCTCAGAGTACACATTTCAAAGGTAGATTTTTCAAATAATTTTTTGCATCAGTTAAACTGATGAACATGGAAAGCTGAAACTTTGCATGAATGTGACTACTGAGACAAGGAGTTAAAGAAAAATGTTAAGTCTCGATACATCCCCTGGGGGAATATTTTCGAGGGCAATGTTTTAAAATTAAATTTTTTGTTGTGGCGAATTGGACAGAAATGGAAAGGTGAAACTTGGCACACATATAAGTGACATGATATTATTGAGTTGAGGGAGTATTCAGCTTTCATGGTGCATCCATGAAAGCATCCCCGGCCATAGCTTTTGGGGGGGTTTGCTTTACGAAACACGTTTTTTTTTCACCAGCGAAATGGCAAATGTATAATGATGAAACTGGGTGGCATAGAGTTCTCTGAGTCTACATTTCAGAAGAAAAAAAATTTCCTTCAAACCCATCAGGGCAATTTTTTTAAGTCCCATTTTCCGGAATTTTTTTTTAATCCAACGAAACAGAGACAAAATTTTAAATTCCCTCAGAAGTATCGATTTGACGGCTGAGTACAGGAAAAATCCTACTTTTGAAACATGACCCCTTAACGTAGATTATAGGAGGGAAGTATATCAAAATGTATTCTCCACCCTTACAAAAAGGGGCGCATGAAAAGATTTCAAGTTAGGCACACTAGAAATCATAGAAGTAATGATTTTAATAGAAATCAAGACTTTCGTCACCATATGTCACGTATTTCAATGGGGACGTACTTTAAATACGTGTTTGCCATTTCGCAAAGAATACATGAATTAATAACTACACAAGTTAATGGAGCGCCAAAGGCGCGACCATAGCAAGTTTGTTTGCCCGAAGGGCAAACAAACTCGTTAGTCTAATATATATAGACGATGGTGAATGACTGACGCTAAGTGGTACCATGTTCTAGACATGATGAGAGGCTTAAACTTGGTACACAAATGGCTGTTAGATTGCTGACTTTCTTCTTTATATGTTGAGAGATTTTGGCCTGGGTTTACTTCCGAATCATTTCAGTTCCAATATTCGCTGGGTGCACTTACACTAGATGACGCGTTTTAAATATAGCGCCGCCCATGACTGGGAGGAGTCGCGCATGAGGAGAAGAATGGAACAAAGTCATGTCTGCACAGAATTGTAGGCAGGAATTGAATACACCAATGGAACACTAAACGACACACTTAGAACTGTTACTTGGTGATCCTCATGCTACAAGTGACATGGCGTCACTCAGAATATGTTCTAAGACACCTTTATTTTAAGGTACGAGAATTGAACCGATGATCAAAGGCGTTTGACCGCATTAGTAGTGGTGAGCATCGAAAACGGATGCCTTAGATCGCAGAGCGTCGAAGGCGCGTCCACATCCCGCGTCTATATATTACAATCAACTGTGATCCATGGCATGAGCGCACACATGACACCCACATGTACTCAGCGCGATCGCTTGTGCTCTTCGATTGAGTGAATCCATATGTGCACATGCGGCTCGCATTTTCTTCCGGCCGCACCGAAAATAATGGAGAGGGCGGGATTCGAATTCAGGACCTCCAGAATGCCGGTCAAGTGAGCTACTACTACACCACCAAACCCAGAACGTTCAATAAATCTCTCCATGCCATCTCTAACGATACAAAGGGAGAGAGAGGCATTCAACGCACATCCCCTTATGTAGGGGGTGTTCACACCTTCGAAACGGACTTTTCCGCAGTGACGTGTAAAACGTCCCCCGTGTTACACTTGGTCATTTTTCTTCCTTGGAGGAAGGATAACTCTCTCGTCGAGATGAGATCTCCGCCCATTCATATTTAGACATGATAACGTAAGGCCGGAGCTCTTCTTTCATGGGTGTGAGTCCCCAATATCTCGAGTGGGTCTCAGTTCCAGGCCTGACTTTGCTGAGATTGCTGGGTGAGAAAGGTGATAACGTTACGTCGTCCTTGCATCATCACAGTCGACCTATTTTACATTTGGTCTAAGGCATGACGTAGAACGAACTTTAATTCGTTTGACGAAGTGAACCTTCAAATGCAAATATACCTAACACTAAACGAGACAAAGGACGATCACGAGGTACATGTACGAGGTAGAGGTGATGGCTGGTCTTGGCAGGGCATGCTTCCGTATTTAGTATAGCTGCTCTAATAATCCCGCAGTACCTGATCAACGGAAAAAATACTCCGCCAATGCGCACCGCAGGCCCGCTTTAAACTTTATGAATCACTTCGCACGGGAATCGCCGGAATTTTGCTATGACCCAATCGCCCTTTTCTGTCATTAGCCTAAACTCAAGTATTGGACCCTATGCATGATAACAAATAATTCTTAGGACACAATATGGCCTAATGGTTCTTCTGAGAACCTGTTGTGCCCGCTATGTTTGTTTTCCTGCCAGTAAGCATTTAGAAGAAAGTTGGGTTGAAAAATGGGGGGAAATCCCATAGGAGTGAATGGTGACTAGGCGCCATGAGCCCAACAAGAATGGTTTCCAATCGCAGCACGCATCCTTATACTATTCCTGTAAGCGTGCCATCACCAGTTTTTTTTTAGCTCAGTGGCTCTCCCATAGATATTGTAACAGGTACACGAGGACGGGCCCCGTGTTTACACGGGTTTTCAGATCCATGCGTCAAGGACAAATATAAAATAACTTGAAGACGTTGGCCCCCAAAAATTATGCCCTCAGGGCATGGATCTAAAATTTTGCATTTTTCCTGAACTCATAGTCTCGGTTGGCACGTCCATGCTAAGTTGCAGCTTTCCATGTCTCTCTGTTTTATCCCGGCAAAAATATTGTTACGGATGGGGAATGAGTAACGGGACTTGCAAGGCATGAGAGACCGAAAGAGAGCATAGGACCGGGAATTGAACGTGGGCCTCCTGATTGCCGGTCAGGTGTTCCACCACTACACCACCGAACCCTGGACATCCAGTCAACCCTCTCGATGCCATCCTCATCCGTCACAATATATATTTAAAAACTTCTCTCCCAAAAATGTATACCCCCAGGGCATGTACTTCCAAAGTCGGATGTTTTTCTGAACTCTGCATCGCAAAAAGGTACATGTGTACCAAGTTTCAGATTTCAGATTTCTCAAGAACATGGTTGAATTAGCGTCAGTCAGTCACGATCGTCTATATACTAGTATACTCGTATTAGATTATTCGTGAATGATCCTGTAGGGTAACTTGGGGGAATATGGACACCAAAAATGAAATCAGGTTATAGCGTCACGTCTAGGTGAAATGAAACTTTGCCAATATTCAGAAAATATTACTTCCTCAGAAACATTCTATGGTCCCTCACCTTCCTCAGAAATATTCTATGGTCAATGGCATCAATACTTTACTTTTTCATCATTCAATGTGATCACAATATCATCTACCACAGTGATATTGAAGAAATTCTTCAAATAAAATAAAATCACAAAAGTAACAAGCATCAAGCAACAAAACATCTGGCAAATTATAACGCTACACTACAGATACTATCCAATCAATTAACTCATATTTAATATTCAACTGCCACAAAAAATTAATATTAGGAAACTGCAATGAGCAAGATCAAGAAGACCTGGCATGAACAAAAAAAGGATTTAAACGCTCAGTGCAATCCAAAAAGAAAGAGGAAATACGGCAATGCAGATCAACAAGGCCTAGGTCCGAACAGAAAGAGGATTTCATAGTTCAGTTCAACTCATGGTCTCTATGGCTAGGACCTTCCCATCTAAAATTCAATGCTCGCCAATCACGTCTTTTTCGAATCTACGGGAAACTTGAACAAATGGGGCCCATTTCTGCTCATGTTCGAGGAGTTAGGGACCGACCACATTGGTATCTCAATGGAAAGTAGCAGGAACAGGACCCTCAGCATGGACTAAAGATGGCTTCATCAAAGCTTATCATTGTGCCTATGGGTCGTCCTTACCCGAGAGCTAGAGCGTCTTCGATTTACCTTGGAAAAAACAAGCATCTTCCGACATCTGTTGGGGGGTTTTCGAATTTATTGAACATATGCTGTTGATTGGGAAGCTTTTAAGTTTGAGACAAATCCATTTAGAACGTTAGGAGTTATCGCCTATTTCGTGCTAAAGTGCGTTTTGCAGTTCAGTTTGCTTAAAATGCCCGGGAACCTGGGCTATGGGACATTTCCGTCTGGTCCTCAATGTGTTAATTACTTTATGTTTCGTTAGCTGTATATGTACTTCGTCACAGAACTTTGAATCAGTATATTACAAAGTGATATCAGAAATGAAATAGCTTCGTCTCAGTTGAGGAGTATAGTCAATCTCTTAGGCATTATGGATCTAGTAGTGAATGAGTTTTCCATGATCAAGATTGCATCATCATGAAAGGTGAAAACGAATCTCCAATGGGTGCGTATGGAAACCCAGGGACGAGGATGGATAGTGACTATTAATGGAATTCCTGAGGGAATGGTTATATCGCATTGGGCGATGCCGAAGGGAGTAAGGGGGCCATCGAAAATATGATTCTATCTTGAAAAGAGGGTGAGGTTTAATAGTCACCCGAGGGTGACCATGCAACCATCAAAGGTGCTGGGCACAGTGGTTGGCATTCCCACCCTACCTTCATGGTGATCATGCTCACCCCTAGAGTGGTTTTACAGTGACAAAGCTTGTAGACCCTTAAGGATGAGGGATCTCACTTGTATTATTTGCTGTGTATGCAAGCAAATAGGAAAATATGAGTAAGGTGGATTGGTTGCCACGTTTACCTGAAAATAAATACGAAATAGGAAGGTAGAATGTTCACCTCAAATTTCTCTGAACCACCGCCGACCCCAACCATTGCGCATCATTACAGGTAGTAATCCTGGACGAGCCAACATCAGGACTGGACCCCGAGGCTCGCCGAATTATCTGGGGAATCCTCCAGGTACGTTACGACGGATTTAAATTCGATTTCCATTTAATTTCAAATTATTTTCGTGGTTGCCAGTGGAGTTGTTCGCTGTACAGGAAGAGAAACGAGATCGAACGATTCTTTTGACGACGCATTACATGGAAGAAGCGGACGTGCTGGGGGATCGCATCGCGATAATGGCCCACGGTCGACTGCAATGCTTCGGGTCCTCCATGTTCCTCAAGAAGCACTACGGTATTTTACTCCATAGCATGAACATTTGCTAAAGAAATTTGTTTTAACCTCCTCAGCGCTTTCCTGAGACAGTTTTGGAGACACAACCATCACTTTTAGCCAAATCATCTCCGCTCACAATGAAGCTATTTTTGCGAAGGTTTCCCGATGTATTCATAATTATGTTTCCGACTTATTCTCGAAATTTCATCAGAATTTGATGTAATGCCATCAGCAGTTACATAAAAAAGTTAGACATTGAGACATTGAGCTCTTGTCATTTCTCAATGTCCAATTTAATATCAATAACTGCTGATGGTATTGCTTCAGTCTAATTCTGGTGACATTTTGAGGATTCGTTGGTAGCATACTAACGCATGCATGGTTAATGTTTCGTCAAAACTGTTCCTTTACCACCGGAGATGGTTTGATTTAAACTTAAAAAAATATATATTTGCGATACTCTGTATGAGCTAAGTAAAAATAATAGTTTCTGATATGCTAATGCGAGCAATGTATACGTGTGGATTATGCACAAAAATTTTGCCCAGAAGAAAACTCGTAACGCAAGAGAGACACGACAATAGATGGAAAGCGCTGGAAGTGAAAGCAGTAAAGTAAAGAAAAAGAATGCCAAGGAGGTTAAGCATGATGATTGGGCAGATATATTGATTCGGTTGGGCTTAAATTTTTTTTTTTTTGAGAGGGAGGCGAGGTGGGGGGGGGGGGGGGGAAGGATGTTTGTCTTTGAAATAGAAAATCACCCGGAATCCTTCGTCCCATTCGAGACTGAGCCTACAGGTGTCTCTCCTCCATTGATTTATTGTCCTTGCAAGAAGGGAAATAAGACAGGGTCAAAGGGAATGAGAAAGAGCCAAGAATAGTCAGACTGCCTTTTGGCTCGGATTTGGGAGGACGTGCGCCGAATCCTTATCTGGCCCGCGCAGCTCCAGTATTATTTGGGAAAGGTATATTACAAAATAGATTTAATGCTGACACGCAAATTTTTTATGCGGGACCCACCAGTCGTCTTGATGTCAAGCCAGTCTGTCTCCCCTCGGAGGATGAAAATCCAAATTTGATGAAGCAATACGCCCAAGAGATCTTACTTGAGAAGCATTTCAGAGGGGGAAAGGAACGCGATGAGTATTGGATGAAGGTGTTCAAATCCCGAATGAAAATAATGTTTCAGAGGTAGATAGTCGGGGGGGGAGGGGATAGTACTCGCTGGAGTACTCCCAGCCTGACCTAAAGAGACTCAGGAGAAAGGAACCCAGAAAGGGAACAGAAAAATCGCATACAAATCTAGAAGGTAACTCGAAACCTTTGCTAAGATTCTTGAAAGTTATCCCACATCATAGTTTGATGTCGGTCCAATGTGGACTCCCAACGTGGGGCCACGGGACAGACCTACGAGGAATCAACGTTATTTCCCTACCTGAGACATACAAATGTGGAATTTGAAAAAAAAACTATATTGGCCCTATCTGAATGTGTCGCCCACTGCCGTAATGTGAGGCTCACATAAAAGGGAGTTGTGTGACAGGCAAAGATTCGGGATTTTGTGCTGCTACCCTATCGATTCTCGACTTTGATGAGAGGTTTGCCAAATGCGGATCCCAGAGGAAGCCCAGTTTTACTTTTCCTTCTGTTGCACTAAGTCGACCACAATCCAACGTTTCGGATATGCTGACGATTCCAACTTCGAAATGAATTAAATCATTCTCCTGCACCCTTCAGAAACTTTCCTTGGGAACCCTAACTAATCACCAGTTACAGGAAATCATCGCTGAAGTAAGCTTGCCTCTTTTCAGCTTCTATTTCCAAGGGGCTGAAAAGAAGGCAACGTATGGTTATGATGATTTGAATCCCATCACTCTTCGAATTTCTTAGTGGACGAGGAAAAAAAGTGCCTTGTAATAATAATGTGCAATCCTGGATTTAGGGAGCGGCTACACCTTAACGGTCACAAGGACACCGGACTTTCAAGAACAGGAAGTCCTTTCCCTTTTGAAAAAATACTCTCCGGAAGCAGAGCTAAAGAGCAGCGCAGGTAGCGAAGCAAGTTACAAGCTGCCCTCCTCCATGGCGCAAGTGTTTCCTACGGTACTTGAAACCCTGGAGAAATCCAAGGCCCAGCTCGGCATCGGAAGCTTCGGCATCTCCGTCACTACCCTCGAAGATGTCTTTCTCAGGTTCCCATCCGGTGTTCAAACAGGACGGAGTGAAGGAGGCGGTTTGAAAGACATTCAATTCTTCTTCAGAGTAGGGGAGGGAGCAGACGCTGAAGTAGGCATCAAGCAGTCTAGAACCGGTCACACCGACATCCATCATGCCAGCACCTCCAGTGAGAATCTTCCACGCCCTTCCCATCTTCTGGCATTAACAGGAATCTAAATTCCTTTTTCTTTTTGCTAGAATGTCCCTGTCTATTAGATGCACGAGCATCGTTCATTGTCCTTTTCTGATTATTATTTTATATTAATATTTATATTTATATTTTCCTTCATAGGGTTGATCGCGATGTATGGGAAGAAGAGCAGCATTTCCCTCTTTGTCCTACAATTCAAGGCCCTTCTCACAAAAAAGTTCATTTACCTCTCTCGAAAGTGGAAACTAATGATCGTCCTGGTGAGAAAACGGTTTCCCTTAAATTCGCCTCATTTGATCATCCTATCAGCATGAGGTATCTTTCATTCTACTCAAAGGCCATCATACCTCTGGGGTTGGCCCTTGGAGCTAAGTTCTTCGTCAAAGACTTGACGGCCTCAAATCCCATGTTCAACACGTTGGATATGAAAGTTGACATCTACGGGAATACCTTTGTCCCATATGAAGTCTGGCCTGGTCTCAATGATACACTCATGAAATGCTTTCTCGATGGATTGCCGAGTATCAGCTCGCCTGAGGTGACAGTTTTAGCTCGCCTTGATGCAGTTCACAGTTCACATCCAATTCGCGTCAAAATGTCGAGATGTTGGGTTGCGTCAATATGGTAGCAAATTGTAAAATTTGGTTGCAATGTTCTTCCTGATTATTCCTGTTAGATGTCAATGGGACAGAACTTCCTCCAGTATTTGTTAAAAATCGGGACAGAAGATTGGCTGAAGTACCAATCTCAGTATGTCATCGGCGGATCCCTATCCAGGAAGGAAAGGATGATAAATTGGACGCAGACATTCACAGCCTTCTATCAGACCGCCCCGCTACATAGCAGCGGGATCGCCGTGAACCACATGAGCGACGCCATGGCGAAGTTCATCCTCGGGACGGAGCATTCTATCCTCGTATACAACCAGCCTCTCCCAGACAGCTTCAGAGGCACTTTGGTCTCAGCATTTCACCGTTGTTGAGGCGATCGAAATTGATTCCAAGGAACTAATGTCTGGCGATATTTCCAAACAGGATGACGCTATCTCAAGTTTTCGTTGGAAAACATCAGATCGCTTGCGGACTGAAGTGATTTTGATTTTAGCCTTGACATTCGCCAGCTTCCTCTGCCTGGGAATGTCCCTCTTCGCCAGTTCCTTCGCCCTCTTCCCAGCAGAGGAGAACGAGTCCAAGCAACTCCAACTCATGACTGGGGTCAGGTCCTTCATCGCCATCTCCATCTTACGGGCGTTGGTCGCGAATGTAGCACGAAATGTTTGCAGGTGCGGCCGGAGTGGTACTGGGTGGCGCACTTGATGGGGGATGGGGTCGTCTTCCTCGTCGTTTGTGCCTTGGTTGTTGGGATCATGGGCGGAGTCGATGCCGACGGCATCTTTGCAGATAGTTATGGGGGTCTTGGTCAGTTTATTTATGTTATCAGTCCATGCGTACGGAAATTAAAAGTTCCAGGGTTATGATGAAGATTCGTGTCATGCTGCTACCGCTTTGCGAATAAGGAAGAACTACTGACATGGGTCGAGGAGACGGAAAACGGCACTTTCCATTTTCCGTTTTTTCTCGTTTCCGCGCTTGAATATATAGAGTAGGTAAAAAAATCTCTCATTTTTGGTGAGACGTCAATCTCATTGTAGGCTACCGATTCGGATGAAATTTGTTAAGCCCGTAGGGTGACTTAATTGCTGTTGGTTTGCGAGTTTCAAATGAAAATGCAAAAAAACTGTAAGAATTCCATTTAATTTACTTTTCATTACCAAAAAAGTAAGAGTTCATTTTTTCCTGTGTCTAAAAATGTCTTACAACTGACAAGATGAACAGAATAAAAATCAAATAGAGGAATATAAAAAACGAAAACACACAATTCGGTTTAGGTAGGTTCATTTAAATTGAAAAGTTGTTAATATGCCCTCCATTCTGTTGAACACAAGCCTGTGGTGTCTAGGACACCGCAAATCAATGGTTCGATGAATAAATCTGTGAGGCAGTGCATCTCAATCTTCTACTTTGGCATCGTGCAGGGATAGATGGTCATTCATCCCGTCCTCCCATTCATCCAGGCCTCACGTTCATATCGATATATGCGACAGCACATTATTTATTGGGTCATGAGAAAGTAATCACAGCTCCTACAATTTTAAAGCCAGAAGGCTGAAATTAGGCTAAAAATCTCCAATTGAATCACCCCAAGTGCCTATCAAATTGCAACATAATGGGCAACCTACAATCACATTGACAACTCGCAAAAAATGAGAGCTTTGTTTTTCCTTGCCCACCATATATAAAGCCACCATATACCTTCAATAAGATAGAATTCCGCAAGCTGATTTTCAGAGGAAGGACAGCATTCCATACTGAACATTTTAGACATTTTCTGATATATGTAAATTGCGTTAGAAAAGTGAATAAGAGGGAATAACCCAAGTGATTGAAAAACATATATTCAAAGATTCATTCATAAGCAATGAGAATTTATGGTCTCAATTTAATTTAAAATAATTTCATAACTTGTGCCATTTTACATGGGAAATGATTTTAATGGGGAGGTTAGATTTCCATAGCAAAAACTGAAGGATTTTTGCATATGGTCATAAAACATTTCTTCATTTTCTTTGAGAACAGGCTCCTTTATGGGATTTCGGGGTCAGAAAAAAATCCATTAAAATACGAGTTAATATTAAAGTGGATGATCACAAAAGGGCGAGTGAGAAGAACCAGGCTGACATTAAATTCAACTGATGTTTTGTCACAAACGGGCAGGTTCCTTGGTCTGTCTGCTGCTGATATACGGCTTCGCCGCCCTTCCTTTCGCCTACGTCTTCAGCTTCGGCTTCAAGAATAGCGGGGCGGCATTCACCGTCCATGCGCTCGTGAATATCTTCCTCGGTCTGGACGAATTTCTTTGGCTCTTTCTTTCGCCGATTCCCTCGCGAATGTTGACGCGTTCCCATGTTTTCGCTAGGGGTGTCGTTATTGGCAGTCGAATTGGTTTTCGAGCACGATATCCGTACATTCCCTGGGATCCGCAAGGCCCTCGGGAGCGGGTTCCCGCTAATCGTCAAGGCCCTCGGGAGCCTGTTCCCGCTTTTCGGTTTCGGACACGGGATAGTCAACCTCATACACCTGGCCTACAATAACGGGAGATGTGAGGCCTTAGGAAACAATGTCAGGAGCTTTTTGTGTTCCAAGCCCAACTTAACCGAATATGCTATCATCTCCGTTTGTTGCGGTGAGTGGCTTTGAATTTTTATCCATTTCCATTTGCATTTCGATGGTGTCGGGATTCGATACTTTAACGACCCTTACTAAACGTCCACTGGGGAGGAGAAGAACATCCCCCCTCCCCCCATGGATTTGGAATCAGGTGGACGTCCCTCCGGGTGGAAATCAAACAAGATGGACGTCCTCCTGGTTTCAAATCAACTGTAAGGGAGAGGGATGCCCAGGTGGATTTCCACCCAGTGGGACGTCTACTTGGTTCCAAATCCACCTCTGGGGATATCCAGAGGGATAAAGCCCATCTCGATTCGTTTCCTTTGGAAGAGGGAAGAGGGCGCAGGAATGAGTGACCAGAGATCCTTTTCCCCGATTGAGTAGTTTTCTAAATCTGCGCTCTAACAAGCATTGGGAATCGTTGTACTGTATTATCCCTTGGAGTGACTGCGTCGACGAAAGTGCATCATATTGGAAGGGTGCGGTATTGTTCGCTAAGACATCTCACAGGATCAGCGGAATTGTTGCCGATTCGGTGAGATGGGTCGCGCCTCGAGAACGCGAACGTCAGGAATTTCCGAATCTATCGCGTCGAGAGTAGGCCTGTGTGGCACGGCGAGGTGCGAGTTGCCGAGTCCAATAAGAGACAATAATCACTGCGAGGATTATCACATCGTTGTACCTGCGAAACATTGTGAATGAATGTACTTTCATGTGATATAGTCATCACCAGCCCAGACCTTCTAGTTGAGGTTGAGGCAGGGGGGGGCAATCATTATTTGGGACCCCTTATATAGTAGCCATCTGATTCGAGATCTGTATAGGGACACACAATTGGGGAAAAAAGGAAATGCCTGAGGGTCGATTCGCATTATTTGACGCTTTCCACATCGTGCATGGTTCTCCCCTCATAGTCCTCAACCCATGTCTGCTTTTCGTGCGTCGAATACACGCTTCAACGACAGTAATAAAACATTATTTACAAAACAGAACTCGAATGAGAGAATCACGGACGCGGGTGATGATAATTAAATGAAACATTTGGGACTAAGCACAATTCGTCCAAGACAGTGACGTGAAGAGAGGATAGAAGTTTACCTATTGCGGAGCCAGTAGACAATGGACTGGACCTTAATGTAGCTGTCAGTCATTCGGTCACGGAAGGGAACGACAGCGTCTGAAGGGGTAGTATCGTTCGATTTCACATTAAGAAGTGTGGAAGATGGAGAAGGAACACAGGCTGTGCGCGAGAAAGGAAAATCTAGGAAAACAGGTAGACAGAGATAGAAGGTCAGCATCGAAGTTATGTCTGGGAAAGAATACTCTTATGGGTGGAGAGGTCACGAGGGCACACGTCACGTGCTCTTACCCGCCACATTCAATGCTAAGCATGGGAATATTCATACCTGTCACTCATGCACCAGTTACGCCTGTTATAGGAATCTATCCAATTTCGATAACCACACGGACGAAGACGTGCAACGTTAGGTTTCCCATCCTCTATGAGATGTTGGATGTCATGATGATGTAGCTGATTTTCGGTGATGAATCCGCCTACCGTGGTGCATATGAGAATTTTTATTTTCCCACACTCGATAATTGTGACTTCTTTTATCGCACCTTATAGCAATAGCATATCGAAAATATGACTGTCATGACACGTGACTGACAGTCAGGAACCGACTTAAAAGCAGAACCTCCAAGGTCATTGAAGTATGAAAACAGGCATTCGTGGACATGAGGACTAGACGCTAGGCTGAATCTCCTCGTGACTTAATGTCCCTCACCAGTATGGAACCATAGGTCGCTAATAACTCAAAGGTCAAATTTTTTATGTGGGGGCTTGGATATTTCTCTTTATTGTACTCTATCTTCTCCAAAAAGCCCCTAGCTTAGGTTGTCCGGTGGAAGAAAAATAATTACTTGTATGCCACTCTCATGAGCGTGGAATGAGATATTTGATTTCTCCACACCTTCATTAAAAAAATAACTTACAATTTGTTTGAAGCGGTTTCTGCAGCGATAGGGTTGGAATATGTCCAGCTTCATTTCTCTGAGATTCCTCTTTAGAAAGGAGAACGAGAAGACCATGTATTTTTTGGTACCGAACAGGTGCTATTGTGCCTATTAATTCACATTGAGAGCTGGATTCATTACAAAGATTTTTATTCTGCTGTTTTTGTGGTTGAAATTGCAGAATTTTATGAAATTGTAAAAATTGGTAGAGGATCTCCATGGAAAAACAGATCGCTATACTTATGTAGTATATTTATTCTCCTGGTATTGCTGGTGGACGAATAAGAATATCTTCACCAATGGCAAAATGATGCTTTTTATTTTCTTTGAGCGAAGGCAAACCCCACTTGATGTTTCTCCTCCTGTCCGCCGGGGGGGCCGCGAGCGTCCACTTCCTGTCCCCCCGTGATCCACGTGTAATCCACCGGTAGATTACAGGTGGACATTTTGTAAGGAGAGTAGATTTAGTGTAAGGAGAACTTGTTTGGTGTGAATTCTATGTAGCCTATAAACGTATATGCACATGGATATGTGCCTTTTCTTTGCCTGCCTGAAGATAAATTATAAAGCAAGATGCTTGATAGCTGTAAAACTTATTCTAAATTATTTCACAGGCTCATCAAATCCTCCTTCTTCAGCAGAGGAAATGTAGCTGAAAATTCTGTTACTATTACGAATCTTTTTTTTACTTCTAAATTCTCAGTGGAATATCCTTTATCCCAACAGAAAACTGCACGGACCTGCCGAGCGGTTGCTTCGAACCCGAGAGCTATATCAGGTTGGAAGGGTTGAACATTGGGGAAGCCATTATCATGTTGGGGTGCTCGGGTCTCTTCTGGTTCGTCTGCCTCTTCCTCCTCGAGCATCGGTACCTACAGCGACTATGGGGCAAGCTCATAACGCATATGGTGGTGGATGGCTCCAAGAATACTCAAGAGGACGAGGATGTGCTCTGCGAGGAAGAACGGATCCAGGACCTTTTCCAAAGAGGTTTTACTTCCTTCTGTGTGCGAACATCTCCAGGGGGGAGGGTTAATCTTCCTTCAGGCTCGTTGCATTTCGAACGCGTTTCGAAGGCGAAAAACCTCCGTTTTTATTCCGTTTAATCATCATACGCCCGGGTGAAAGCGAGGGATGAAAGAAAAACAGCGAATGAAAAACATGGCATCCTTCATGGTTGAAGTGGGTATGCGTGGGTTTAGTGAGTGCGGTTATCTCTCAATCGGGTCTAGAGTCGTTGAAATAGTGGGGAACATAGGAGGTCGTTTGTGTTCTTCACAAGAGAATTGTAGGCCAGTCCCATTATACCCAACATGTTATGCTGAGACCTTTCGGGGAAAAACCCCGTAAGGTGTCAATAGAACCTGGAACCGATACATATTGGGTCAAAAGTCCAAGCGGCCTTTGCGGACGTTGTACCTATGCGACCTCCTTTCTGTCTTCGTGTCTGAGGACTTTTCCGACTTGAAACTCGATCGACCCAATTCGAATCGTGGCCCGCACACGACCGGGAACGCGATCGTCCACCGATATTTTTTTGCTCCGAGCCGAGAATCTCTTTGGCCCGATTTGGTCAACCTGCAACCCACTAAAACCGTAAAGCTTGAGAACTCCATGTCTCTGATGATGTACTACCCCTAATTGGTGGGAGGGGCCTCTCGCAAATCGACACAAGAAGGCATTTTGCGGTGAAACGGCTTAGAATGATATATATAGAGTGTTAAAAGAAATCATCCTTTCATCATCCTTTTTCTATATGGAAATCACAATTTTCTTTTTAGGCGTATTACTTCTTGAAATGGGCTATAATGTCAATGTAATTGGCTCTTCTTCATTGTTGGAAAATGTTACATTTATAATTGTTTACCCTATCTCCTCTTACCATTAAAAAAATCGCCAAGGATGGGATTGAATATCATTGGTCGCAATTCATTCAACCTCAACACTGTCCGTCACATTATTTCGTTCTCGACATATCAGTAGATATTCTTGGTATATCTAATTGGAATTGTTTCATGGCGATAAAGTGGCGATAAGGCATCCTTACTTCTCTGTTTCAGCATGTGACCTATAACCTAAATTGTGCAATACAAGCAATACAGCAACAGCAGGGGAATAATCTTCACGTTATTTTAAAACTTCCATAATTTCTAAGTTTTTCCTTATCCCATAACAAATTAAATCTTTCTTTTTCTGAGATTCTAATTAAATCCGAATGACTAATTCTTTAAAATGGCAAAATCAGAATTGAAAAAATTAACTTCCAGGTATTTTTGATAAAAATGAATTAGGATGATTAAGAGACTGGCCAGAATCAATCTTTGGAATGCTAAACGTAACTCAAACTGGACATTCCTAATTTTTAACCGAATGAGAAACGAGGGGTGTTCCAAAAGTTTCCGGAAAATATTTTTTTCAAAAATAACTAGAGGTCGTAGAGGCTAGACCTTTTAACCAAATACGCCCGAGGGTATGGAAACATGTTTCCTTTAGTCATAAATCATTTATGCGATTGCCTTCATGGTCTTTACATGGAAAAAGAGGAGCTAATTTTGCAGCAGCGTTCCGTGATCCGCTTTCTGTGTTTGGAAGGTGCTACCGGGACGGAAATTCATTGGCGGTTGAAAAATGCGTTTGCTCTGGAAAACCTAAGCAAGACACACGTTTTTGAGTGGGTTAGAAAATTTTAAAGGACAGGTGACCCTTAAAGACGCGAATCCCAGTGGGCGGTCGTCGGTTGCAGTGACTGAGGAGAACAGGTCCGCGTGCATGAACTGATGCAAGCTGACAGATGCATCACAGTGGGTGAAATTACAGCTGATCTTGAGATAGGCCACAACGCTGTTGTCGAAATGCTTAGACAATTGGGCTATCGCAGAATCACAGCCAAATGGATTCCAAGAAACATGACACTGGAGCAGAAACAGAGACTTGTCGATGTGTGCCAGGATTTGTTGCAGGAACATGCCGAGAATGACATTTCTTTTCTGAACTCATCACTGGAGACAAAACGTGGCTGCCATTTTTCCTTCCTGAGACAAAAGAACAGTCAAGAGAGTGGCGCCACACATCATCGCCTAGGCCAAAAAAGTTCAAGTCGCAGGCCTCTGTCAAGAAGATGATGGTAACGGTTCTCTGGGTCCATAAAGTGAATTTACTCATAGATTTTTTTTTAGCTCAATACAGCCATAAATGCTCAGCGATACTGCGAGACTCTGAAGAAACTGAAGAAGGTAGTTTCGAAGAAGAGGCCAGCATTGCGCGGGAAGAAACTCTTGCTTTGCCGCACACTGCTTTGGCAACTTCCGCTCTTCTTGTCGAGTTTCAGTGGACTGCTGTTCCACATCCGCCCTACAACCCTGATCTTGCTCCCTCAGACTACCACCTCTTTGGATACCTGAAAAATCACCTACAGGGAATTCATTTCAAGGAAGGAGGGGACCGCGAGGACGCAGCAACAAACTGGCTCCGACAGCAGCAGCCCGACTTCTACAAACATGGAATATATTATTGAATATTTCCCTCCCGGTGGCAAAAGTGCATGGATCAACAGGGTGAGTATTTGGAAGGGTAAGGGAGATGTTGAAGAATATACAGGCGAAGTTTCTACTCATTCGACACAGTAGGTATTTTTTTAAAGAAAATCTTTCCGGAATCTTTTGTAACACCCCTCGTGATTTGAATATAAAATCAAAATAAACCCTTTTTTTCTTAGAACACTTCTGCAGTAACAGAAAGTAAAATAACCATCAAGTTACGTGTTCTTCAAATATGTAATCATAGAAATGTAGGCTGAGCAGGCACGCTGGAGGGATCTGGAAGAGACAGTTGCAGTGATCCAATCGCTCAGATTTAGCAATAGCTTTGTAATTTTCAATGCCTCTTCAGCCCAGCATCCGAAGGGAAGAATAATGTGAAGAACGACTTGAAAGTCAGTACCCGCACATCAGAATTCGCAATCCCTATTATTTGCAGTGACAACAAGAGGCAAATCCCAGTCTTTATCAATGACTCCAAGTCTACATAAAACTATTCGTCAGATTATGCCTTTTCTGCTTCATTCTGGAGATGTTCTACCATTAAGATAATAGCCAGGAGCCAGAATAAAGCCTGGTTTTTTTTACTATGGGAATGAGAGTTATATGTTCCCTAAAGAAAATGGGTGGATCCTCATATTTGAGACACCATATATATAGACGATCGCGAGTGACTGGATGAGTAACTGAGTGAGTGACTGACTTACACTGATTCTAACCACGTTCTAAAAATGGTAGAAAATTGGAACTTGGTTGAAAAGTACCAACTACAGGGGTTCTCAAACTGAGCGGCGCGACAGGTCGTGGGAGTTACTTTTTTTATTATCAACAACAATGTGCAATTAAAAAAACTATGGATTATTTTATTCATCTAACTTTTTTTTACTGTGGAAAGGTCACATTCATTCAGGTCTCTCTGGGGCTTTCTCCAGGAGTACAAGACTAAATGAATGCAATCCATGGCAGCAAGCCTTTAAATTCGATTCCTTTTTTCAAGGGGTGCACATTTCCATCGGCGATTTACTACGATTCGAATTAAGATGACTCGTGCGTCCCTTCGGGCAGTAACTTGAATGCTCGATGAATGTAACGTCTGTGCACTCGTTCTGTCTAAATGAACACTTGGAGAAATTCAATGACGCAGAAGGGCTTGGTTCAGGGGGCAGAGTAAAATTACCGAGGACATTTCTCAGTCAAGTCTTTAAAAATGAGATTTGCGCCGTTATTGTCACCCGTACAGTTTAGATTCGATCATTTGTGGGCCAGGAAACATGTGAGCGGGGTTCTCATGAAATTGCATGAATGATATACCGTTTCCTGGCTGTGACCTGGTCCCTGAAACGTTGAAATTACCCCACGGATGCTTTTTTCATGCGATGATTGAAAAAATTGGAAAAGGATTGCAATTTCTAGGTACTCCTATCATAGAGAAATGGGGCCAGACGCCGAACCAGGACCGCTAGGGGAAGGTAGCAGCGTAAAAAGTTTAGACCCGCTGACCTGCTGGGTTCCTGAATTCAGAGCAATTCAGACTTTCAAGGTGAATACCCTCATGGCAAATTTTTGGGGGAGAAGCACTTGTGACCACTCGGGCGATTTTCATAACTCTCAAACTTTGCCAGCTATAACTGCATGAAATAGCTCATATGAAAGGTCTGAAATAGAAGAATCTAATTTTACCCACGAAAATGAGAGTATTTTGAAACTTGAGTTGCATACCTTTTTTTTTCAAAATGTACTAATTTTTCTTAATTTCACCACCCCATTATCTGTTATGGAAGTCAACCTAACAAAACCAAAGTTGCAGTGCTAAGAGTCCACTTCTGGCTCTGTTTTATGATGTACTAGCGAGTTTGTTTGCCCTTCGGGCAAATAACCCAAGTAGCATGTTAATGTTAATTTTACGTAAAATGAATGTAAATTTTCTGTCTATTTTATATCATTTTTACGCAAACCACCGTCAAGAAAATGTCAACATTTTGGCAGAAATGTCACCTCTGTGATACGTAAACGGTGATATAAAATTAGCGTAAATTTTACGTAAAATTGACATTCCCATTTGCATTCCAAACAGCATCTTTACATTCATTTTACGCTAATTTTCCACTGGCATTAATGCGTATTTAAAGAGTCAATCAGTACCATTGAAGCGAATTGATATAATGAATGTCCTTCTCCTTTACGTTCTTCGGAACGCTAAGGTGGTTGGACGAGTACATGTGTACTCGTCCTCACCACCACTCAAGAGTACCCAAGTGACCTACTGCTTCCCTCCGCCCGTTCCCGGAACCTCGGGAGAAGAAGTAGATGTTCAAAGGAGCTCGCTTCCTTTTAGGATAGAGAAGATGTAGTACTTGTGGGGCTGGGATTCTACTCTTCCCTAATCCCATGCACTGCTGTAATAATAAAAGCTTAACTTCAGCATTTAATGATTCCCTGTGTCATATATAATAAAAATATTAATAATAATTTCATGTTTTCCATATTCATGGATTGCTTAAAAAGTAGAAGGATGGTAAGAAAATGTTATGCCGTTGGGTTGGAAAGAAAGTCTTGCAAACACTCTGCGCAAATTTGTCAAAATGTTATAACATTATTGAAATGCAATATCAGTCTACAATGTAATGACGATTGTTGTCTATGACATGTTCCCAACGCACGGGTAACTGCTCGATGCCCTTTGCTCAGAACTCTAGCGATTGCGAAGCGAAGAAACGGCGGACATCATTTTCGAGCCGTGCTCGATCGTCGAAGGCCTTGTCCCGCAGGTGATTCTTGAGGGCCCGGAACAAGTGATAGTCGGAGGGCGCCAAGCCCGGAGAATACGCTGGATGGGGTAAAACTTCCCAGCCCGGTTCCGAAATCGTCTGCCGTGTCATCTTCGCAACACGCGGACGACAGTTGTCATGCAGAAGGAGAACTTTGTCGCGTTTGGGACGCTCTTTTTGAATGACGCCACCCAACTTCTGAAGTCGAGCAGCGTAGACGACGCCAGTCAAGGTGGTACCGGTTGGCAAGAGCTCAGAGTACAACATTCCTTTTGAATCCCACCGACAGCAGAGAAGAACCTTCTTCTCGTGTAACCCTGGGTTCGGTTCGTGTGGCAGCAATTCTCCTCGTGGAAGTCACTGACTGTTGCGAGTATGATTGACGTAGAGGACCCAGCTCTCATCTCCAGTAACGATTTCCTTCAGAAGGTCCTTTCTGTGCGGACGAAGGAGCAGTAATTCACAGACACTGACACGGCTTGCTTTGTCAGAGTCGCCGAGCCGATGAGGGACCCATGTCGAGTAAACCTTCCGATAGCCGAGGTCGTTCAGATGGTTGCCGATGGCCATACGGGTGACTCCAAGTGTAGTCGCCGATTCGCGAGTGGTGGCGTTCGGCTTCGCGTTGAGGGCGTTCCGCAGGGCTTCGTCATCGACTGTCGATGGACGTCCTGAGCGTGGTCGATCTCCGAAGGTCGTGTCTCCAGATTCCAAGCGTTTCAACCATGGAGACACCGTGGAATAGTGGACGACGTTGCCCTCGAATGCAGCGCAGATGTTGTCCGCGGCGGCTCTCCCAATGTCCTTGGAGAAACACGTAGTAGATGATGGGGCGAAGAGGTGGCTTGTTCGATCGGTGCCATGGCTGCCAACTAATGGCAGAAGCCGCCTTATATACCCCGAGGGCAGAAGCTTCCAGAACATTCCAGCATACAGTATACAAATGCAAAGCCCCGCCCGTCATTCCTTTGAAAAATTTTATAAATATTTTTAGTAAGTGTTGCAAGACTTTCTTTTTAACCCACTATATCAGGAAAACCAGCACTTAATAGTAATTGTAGGATGCAGGGAACAAGGGTTCCATCTAGTGAGGAATCTTGGTTCTGCAACTGTAGGATGGTCAGCTAAAGTTTCATGGATGATGTGGTGTTAATATTTCATAAACTAGATATCATGTACCTCACGTCAGACGGAGAGACGTCTATTTGATGTAAAATACACGTACACTTTGGTGGTGTAAATATAGGAACGTAAATTTTGCGTAAACGTGATGTCATTTTCATGGCAATCGCAAGAAATTTACATTACAAAAAATTGAGATCATGTTTACGTGAACATGCTGCTTGGGAAACTCGCTATGGACGCGCCTTCAGCGCTCTGCGAACTAAGGCATCCGTTTTCGATGCTCATTTCTACTAATGCGGTCAAACTCCTTTGATCATGGGTACAATTCTCCCACCTTAAAATAAAGGTGTCTTAGAACTTATTCTTAGTGACGTCGTGCCATTTGTAGCATGAGGGTCACCAAGTAACAATTCTAAGTGTGTAGTTTGGTATTCCATTGGTGCATTTAATTCCTGCCTATGGTCGACAAACTTTTGATTGCATATCAATCTCCAAAAAAGTAGAAGTAATAGCGGCCATATGAACCACATGAGCCACTTGAGAGTTTTATTGCAATACTTTTAGATTACGTTCATTGTATGGGGAGTTCGTTCATTATTTTCATATCACGGACTCTATGGGAGTCCCTTTGTCAAACACTTCTAAAGTTTCCATACAGTTGTCTATGAAAAAATGCGTCAGTCTGTAAATGCAGCCCATAGATATACCTTCCCGTTTCGTAGAAGTGTGCATAGCATTGGCCTAAGCGTCCGTAAGTGGATTAGACGCAGTCACCTTATGTCGATGGAACATCTGCAGTTTCCATGCCAGAAACAAATAAATAGATCCCAATTGCATTTGCAAGGGTACCGGTACGCGTGAACTCGTGTCCTTCCCTTCACCTATACCCAACGGCATAGGACCAAGGTCTAGCGCGACACGCCAAGGCAGAAGGATTCTCGGTCAGATGGACCAAGAAGTTCCTCCATGCGATTGGGTCGGGCAAAATTGGTGTAGGCCTCCGCGTTTGTCAAGGATTACCTATAGGCCTGCTAACTCAGTCCCCTCAGGGCACGTACAATGTCGAACTTCATCTGTAGCATGGAATAAAACAGCTACTTCTTTTCCCTCCCGTTTCCCTGAAGGAAGAATATGTATGAGAGTGGTATTAGTCTAAGCATCCATCCATGGGTTAGGGCTAGGCCTGCAAAATCTGCTCCCCCCCTGAAACGTGCACTAGGCATGGACCCCCAAAATTGGGCATTCGAAGTTGGACTTTCTCTGGAGTAGACAACCTAGCAGCTATTCATGTTCCTTCCGTTTAATTGAAGGAAGTGTGTGCCTGAGAATGGCATATGCCGAAGCGTCCGTCTGAAGATTAGACCTTGGCTTGCAATATGAGACCCCCCCAGCAATGAGCCCCCAGGACAATTACCCCCAAAGATGGAATTTTTCTGGAGTCAGCATTCTAACAGCTATTTATGTACTAAATTTCAGCCTCTCATCATGTCTAGAACATGGTTAGAATTAGCGTTAGTCAGTCAGTCGCCATCGTCCATATATATTAGATGTATCATTTGGATTTTTTCATCCCCACATTTTCGAAGATGAAAGTCAAATATTCCAATTTTCGTGATTTTAGCGAAAGTTGACGTCATTTTTTACGAGGTGGGGATCCTCATAAAAATATGGCTCATATGTCAAATGAAGCAGCATTCCAAGTTCTATCCAACATGAGTTTCGTTTTGTTACAGTCACGCATCGAAATATTATGAATTTTCTCATGTTGGTCGGTTTTGGCCTGGGCGCAGTTCAATATCATCTCCTATGACATCTGATTCAACTATTTACTTTCTGTTATTTTCATGATTTGACAGCGTTCTTACAATGGTATTTCTTTTCCGCAAAATTAAGTTGCATGGAGACTTATTGCCCCTTTTTTTCGCATTACCATTGCTTCATATAATTTCATTAATTAAAGCATTGGGTTCATCTGATTCTACTTTCATAGGCTGTCAATATTTTATTATCATATGTTGGAAGTTTGCCAGTGCAAAGGATGTTGGTCTCTGTTCAATTTTCCTGCGACAAATATTCCGGTCGACCCACTGTTGCACCGTGTGCAGGATTCCTGCATTGTTACTGGGATGTAGGCAGGGCCAAATTCTAGCATCGATCATTGCATGCAGATTGCTCCGAGCGCTCTCGGGGTCTCATCTACGAAGGTCGCGCGACGGTGGAGAAACAAATATCGCCTCGTGTGCGGCGGGCTTAGCATTCCCTGAGTCTGGAGGCAACTTCATATTCACCTTGTGTCCACCCCCAATATTCAACCTTTCCACTCTCACTTGATGGTTACCAATTATGTTAACTTTTACTTTCGTTGACTGCAGGAGAGACGGAGACGGACGCCCTACTGGCGGTGGGCCTGAGCAAGTCCTTTAAAGGCTTCGTTGCCGTGGATCGCTTGAACATCGGGGTCCACCGCGGCGAGTGCTTCGGGTTGCTGGGCGTGAACGGGGCGGGGAAGACGACGACGATTCAAATGCTGACCGGAGCGGAGGTCATTAACTCGGGCGGGTCGTGCATCTTGGGATATAACCTTGGCGTGAATCGCAGAAAGGTTGCAACATTTTCATTCACATTTTCTCGTATTATGGTTTTGCGTGTCTGAAACGTGAAGGTGTCACTGCAGTACCTGTCTCAAGTGGGCTATTGCCCTCAAGTCGATCCTCTGGTGAATGTGATGACCGCAAAGGAGACCCTGCTGATGTATGCCCGACTTCGAGGTATTCCGGAATCCGTCGCTGAACAACACGTCGACTCTCTCATTGACCAACTTGGTATGCACGCTTATCGAATCGAATTATAATGCGATATCTAATCGTCGTGGCATCTGATCTGAATGGTGCCAACAGACTTCGGAATTAGTCCTGAAAATACAAAGAATTTGAAAATTTTCATTCCCTTAATTGTCGGGTTATATTCGAGCAGGACTAACAGAGTACAAGGACAAGTGCTGCGGGACATACAGCGGAGGAAACAAGCGGAAACTGAGCACAGCCATCGCCATGGTGGGGGAGCCGCCTCTGCTGTTCCTGGACGAGCCGACCTTAGGCGTGGATCCCGTCTCCAGGCGCAAGATCTGGAATGCCCTTGTTGACTGCACCAACAATGGCCAGAGCATCGTGCTCACCTCCCATAGGTACTTGTCGGCTCGTTCACTCTATGCTTTGAAGACCTTTAATATGAACTGAATCACTTCTAACCTTTCCTTAGGAGGTCAATATTGAAAAATATTTTTCAGCTCCTGTGGTTCACGGCTAATGGAGGCTGTTGAAAGAAATTATTACGCTTGCAGTTTCTTTCCGTTCTGCTGCCTTTATAGAATGTCACCTTTCCGAATCATCATCCTATTCGCAATAGGAAATAAAAAGGAATTCAGGGGTTTTTTTAAATTCACTTCTGGAAGGCCCTTCTACTCTCTTTTCGGCAGCATTTTCCTATCGAATTAGAAATACATGCAAAAAGACCCTATGATTAAGGAAAACTTCAATATCTCTGCAAAAATGAAATTTTATTGCCATTGAACGGTTTCCATTCTACGGGTTACTTCGGCACCTTTGAAACTGTTGTTAGCATGGAGGAATGCGAGTACTTATGTCACCGAGTCGGGATCATGGTGAACGGGCGGTTCCGCTGCCTGGGTAGCCCACAGTACCTTAAGGACAAGTACTGTCAGGGGTATACCATCAAGGTGAAGACGAGGATGTCTGCGTCGGCGGAGAAGCTGGAAGAGCTCAAAGCTTTCCTCGTTCAAACCTTTGGAGGATCCTTCCTTCGTGACGAATATATAGTGGGTTTATAGGATATAATTATATTATCGATTATTTCGTATTATTTCTCCTTAATTGAATGTGTTTAATGAATCGGGTAACTTATTGCCAGGAAGAAAACTATACTCATCAACAATTGCAAGAGGAGTACAACAGATCAATCAGTGCGGAAATTATGGGTTTAAAAATGGTTGTGGGATGGAGATATTCAGAGTGAAGGGGATTTATTTTTCAGAAACTAAAACGGTATCCCTCGCTGCATTCCGTCTTGAATAAAGTAAAATTCACTTTTGAAGCGAATTTTAAAAGCAATTCTAACGGTGAAATATAGTAGAGCTGGTAGATGATCGTGGAAGGATTTGCAGATTTGATGGAGGGTGACAGATTTTTGAACGACTCCTGGAGGTTGGAGTGATTGGCAGCGATTTTATCTTCTTCCCAGGGAAGGCTGAACTTCCTAGTGGAACGCCGGGATGTGAACTGGGCCCAGCTCTTCTCGACTGTGAGGGAGATAAAGACGAGATTCGAAGACGTGGTCGAGGATTCTCTCGTCGGGGAAACGAGTCTGGAGGATGTTTTCCTTTCCTTCACCAGTAAGCAGGTCCAGCAGAGACCGTAGGTCAAGTGCCGACTCTGCCTTTGCTGCGGCAAGTCCCAGTGATAACCGACTGCCAGAAAAATTTTTCTTTGGACTTTTTACCTTTCTCATTCGTCCGCCCTGGTATTCTTATTGCATAAGGCATGATTTAAAAATGCGTGGTCTGGCTCCGATTTTGAAGCTGTGGCACCCTCCGGCATGAATTCAGATTGATGAATATATGATTATTATTATTGTTAAAATAGCATTGATTGCTACACGAAATTGCACTTTGTTGTATTTCACTGTCCGTTAGCGCTCTAGCGGCCAAATGGCTAAATCTTTAGTGGTGATACTTTGCACTCGCATTTCTTTGCCATCCGAAGATTCATCATTTCTTGGAATAAACTTATTCCCCAACGCACTATTTCGCCCATTTTTTGGGAGAAAACTCAATTTCTTAAGGGAAAATAAAATTGTCTAATCGACATCACGGGTACCATCAGTGAGACATCGTGAACGAAATGAAATACATCAACTGCAGCCCGAGTATCTGACATTTGGACTCACTCAAACAAAGAAGCTTTCCGCAATTAAACACTGGTGGTTTTTCCTTGATGACATCAGGAAGTCCATCAATAATATTTATTGAAACAAAACGAAATACAAAATATGAAGCTGAACATTTTTACTTAGCAGTCGAGACCTCTATTGTGGCATCGAATACGTCACGAAAGCGATTCTACTTGTGATAATTGAATTTTGCCATGATCATTTTCTATGCATAACGCCTCATCTTGTCTATGAAGTATTATAACCACTCTGTTATAGGTACTTCATATTTTCGAATGCAAAAATTTGCCTCATGAATGCGGCAAAACTCCCTATTGCTTGCAGTAATCAGCTTTCTTATATAAGATAAAGGCCAGTTCGTGGACAGGTTAAGGAATTTCTTTATCTTGGAAATTGTACTATATAGTAGTTGGACTCACCGGAGAACTGCGTTTGGTTTCAATATGATGGCATGTATCATAGTTATATATCCATACTCTGAAATATGGACAAGATGCAGCAATTCTATTCATTGTCGCGAGATGAATATTAAAGAAAAATCGCTCATTCTTCATGCATTCTTTAGCAAGTCCAGCTACATCCGCACCATATTGGTGAAATCTAGCTCTGAAGTTTCCGGGATACGGCCTTCTCATGCCTCCTCTTATAATTTTTCTCCATGTTAGGATATTTAGTATAAGCTTATGCAGAAACTTTCAGAATTCATCATGACCTTGAACCGGTTTCATAGTTTTTTTTTTTAATTCTTCGGGTTCAGGGATTCTTTGAATTCGAGATGAGTTTGTCACGTAGACATTTCCTAGTGATGATTTTCTATTACTTCAAAAAATGTTCTTAGCCCAATTAAGAGTCTTGAACGCCTACAAGAGGCCTTTGGAGAATAGGCACCATCTCGTAGTAAAACCTTTGAATGATTCGTAGAATGTCGGAGGGGAATGGTGTCCTTGAAGGATGAGCGTTTGCTTTGGCCAGCCGTCAACTGCAAGAAAATGTGGTCATTGCGCGGAAGATGGTTGAATAGGACTGTCAAATTGCACATGACATTCACGCACAACTTGGGATTACTGTAGGTTAGCAGCAGTGAATGATATACTGCTCAGAAATCTCGTCTGAGGACGGTCACCAGCTGATGGGTCCTTCATGATCTCACCCTAAGTGAAAAGGAGGCCAGGGTAGAATGGTGTGATTCATGCTCTGGAACCGAGTTGCCCAAACTACGGCCTGCCGAAAGATTCCATCCGGCCCGCGTTAAGATGCGACCGGCATGATACTTTTGGCCTCCAGCTTGCCTGGATTTTTATTTATTTAAATGTTTTAAATATTCTATCCGTATTTCGTCCACTGTTAATACCCACTTCATGTTTCTGTTCTGCATTGGGGAGTCTAATAAGTCAGATCTAGTAAGCGTACCACTCGCGTCTCACCGGGTCCACCCTTCAATTCTTTGAATTAAGGCCTTTTCGATCCCCAGTGATTAACCTTGAACGTCCACACACTTAATTGGGCATGTAATGCATGTTTCGGGTGTTGGTCAGGTCCATACCGTGTCTCTTCGAGGATCCCAAGTTATTACTCATGCCTTGTTCACCGAAACCTCGGGAGCATTTTTCCTCGCTCTGTGCTTTCCTTGGACATCCTTGTTTAGCAATTGCGTCATTCAAAATTCAGTGTCATTCCGTTAATTGATCTCTCCAGCGGAAATTGTTTCAATAGTTTTAGGTGTGGAGTACTTATTTCTCTCCTTTTTTTGAGAGGACGTTCCTGCCTAATCTTTTTCTCGTACAAAGTACGATATCATTGAATCATGCTAAGCCTCAAAACAAAGGAAGTTGACAGTAAGTGCAGAAAATTTCGAAGTCGATCGGAAAATATTTTATTTTTAAAGAGTTGAAGGGCAATACTATGTGCTGGATTTTTCAAGAGAGTAATTGATGTTCTGAAGGAGCATAATCCTAAAAGGCAATACTAGTCCAAGCGGGCAAAGTCGCAAGAAGGGTACCAACTGACGGATTAGCAGCAAAGCTGAAAGTTTGTGTCATTAAGCAGTTCTAGGAAAGGTGAATCGCGGTAGCTGTAATGTAGCTCTTTTGACAGCTGAACATAGCTTGTCATTTTCGGGAGAGTTTGTCAAGACATGCAAATCAAAGACTTTGAAGGTACTGCGACATGAAATATGTCAGCAATTTCAAACTGAGAGCATCTCGCGTCCAACGATCTCAAGATGGATCAAAGGACTTGTCCTGTCATCTTCACGAGGAAATGCGTTCAAGGGTTCAAAACCTTGTGTACCATTTCGAGAAGAAAAACAAAATTATTTGAGGAATAAGGCAATCCCATCCTTTCGCTTAACCAAGACGGCGGATCAAATTTGTATTTCTAGCAGACGTGACATTTCATATGAATGACAAGCTTCTTCAAGCGCGCGATTGCTTCACCTCGGACTTTCATTCAATTGTGAGCGCTTTCAAAAAGAAAATCCTACTTTTGGGAGTATCATCAGGCCAAATTTAAGGAATTATTTCAGGATTGCTCCCGGCTCAAAGAGTAAATTCAGCTCTTCCGTTTTCCGTTCAATGTGAATGTTTGGAAAGTTATTGAATAAATGCAAATGGAAGTTATTTAACTGAAATCGCGAAATGAACTCAAAAACATATTCACAGACCTGTCTGCTCGAGTTCCGTAAATTCATAGATGACAGTCGTTTTCCAAAATGGATTCACCACATCGAAATGATGACTACCTTAATTGCAACAGCATATATCTGTAAACAGACTTTCCCCATCATGTCTTAATCATGTCTCAATCATGTCTCCGACACACAAGGTCTGTTTTAAAAAAAGTGAGGGCTTTCCTCCATAATAATCAATTTAAACTTATATATTATCGGATCATAATCGAGCGGCCCTCGAGTAGGAAGTTACTGTCCATGCGGCCCCGCAAACTCAAAAAGTTTTGACACCCCTGCATTAGAAGTTCAACTCCGTGTCTTCAAAAGCCATCATCACATCATCACCGGAGATGAATCCCTGAAATATCAATTTGTCCCGGAGACAAGGCGTGAATCCACTGTCTAACTCTTCCCTTTTGAACCGGCTCCAACCAAGGTCAAGCGGCCCAGAAGCGTGGGAAGCCAAATGGTGGCTAGTTTCTTCTCTTTCACTGGTCACATAGTCACCATACATCTTCAGGGTCTAAAGTACCTCGACGTGGAACGTAGAGTCCTGCCCCTCAAACGTGTTTGAATCTTTGAAGAATCGGAATACCAACCCGCCAAGGCAACCTTGAAATCATGGATGCTCCATCACGACAACGTGTCCAGTCACACAGCCGCCCTCACATCGGATTTCATGCATGATTCTGGCATCAGAGCGCTCCCACATCTGATTCATAATCCAGATCTGGTCTAGCGTGACTTCTTTCTCTTCCCAAGAATTTAAGGCATTGACAACGCTTTCACTCTCCAAAAAAACAGTCGCTGAATTTATTTCAGTCATCTCGGGTATCTCAATATTTGAGTTAACATTTTTTTGAGAAATGCTTTGCAAGGATGAGAAAGTGCATTAATTCTCATGTAGAATACTTCGAAAAGGAGTAATGATTGAGTAACACCCATCAGTTTTCATTTGTCCGTATCCGGAAACATTCAGGTCCTAATAAGTAATAAGTGCAATAAATATCACGAAATGAAAATCACAAATTACTATGAAAGTATTTGTACTCATAAAATGGCTGCCTCTACCCCATTGGCGTAGCAAGGAACATGCGAGCGGTGACCCCGCACTGAGGGGCTGTTTCAGCAGTGAATTTTGATTTTATTTTTCACTGGATGACGGTTGCTGGAAAAACATTTCCCATGACTAAACGCACTTGGGAAATGCCACCGAGCCAAACCCATGCCTACTGTCTTCTTTGCCGCTGATCGTATACGAAAGCTGTCCCATTTGCTCTGCGTACGCAGGAACGTTCGGCCTTGGTTGTCTGCACTTGAGCGGGATCGACATCAATATCGCTCCCACGTGCGATTCGCTTTCTATTACGATCATGGATGCGAGGGCATTTTCCTGTCGTATCTCCGTCGACGTGCCTGTGGCATGGTAAGTTAATTATTATTCTTTGGGGAACAAAAAACCTAAAAATTTAGGCCGTAAAATACTTATTTGTCCGTAAAGGCCCGGAGGGACAGAACTAAGACTCACTCAGGGAGACATGAAAATGCATAACGAACACGATATTTAAGACGCAACGACATCATATGTGGTAATATTGTATTATTGGAAGTCGTACCCCGTCCGCACAACATCTGGTCAGCGTTGAGCAAGGACTGATTTTTTTAAACTTAGTAATGTTGCCACGACGGTGCGTAAAAGGTGGATTGAATTTTGCCACAATGTTAATATGAAACACATTTCAACGTTGAAAAGACTGTCATGTTGTGCCAGCGTAGAATCGTCAAAGTTTGGGCATTACCTCCTCCTTTCCTGAGCCTGAACGTGTACTAATATAGATTACAGCCTGAAAGTATTTCAATGTCTGCAATTAAACTACCTAAGGGTCCTTCCGAGTGACTTTCTTTACTGAATCAGAACTAAAGTTAAGCGCTCGAATGACACAACTCATTCTGTGCAGGCCAAATAAGACCGATCTGACCCGTGTATCGGGCGTGCATCGAGCTAAACTCCGTTTAACATCGAATCTATGAGATTTTGTATCGCGATCTGGTCCAGATTCCGCAATATCTGCGCGAGTGTTTTTCTTCGATACATTCCGGACTACCAACCGGCATGGCCGGTTTTACATTTCTGTCGTTCTCGATGACGGACCGGCATGACCAATACAAATTTAAAACTACACACAAGATGCCTGACCCTTCCATCGTCTTTCCCATTCTGCATCTTGCAATCT